CTGTCAAGAGATGAAAGAAAATTAGTAACATGTATATGAAAATCTCCCTCCTGTCAGAATCTGGGGCACACCAAGGGACCCAGAGTCAAGTCCCCGCCCACCCGCGTGCACCTTGAAATCACGTGAGACTCCGTCCCAGCTGGCCCCACCCCAGGCAAGCCCTGCAGGGTGCAACCTCAGGTCCCCCAGCCCGTTGCAAGGGCGTGAGGGCTGACAACCATTTGCATATTAGCTCTTTACTATGTAGGATGATATGACTATACCAAGATTCATAAACCCATTCTATAGTTGATGGACATTCATATTGTTTTCATTAAAAGCTTTTGTAACAAGGTTACGGTGAATAGTCTTCAAACTTCGAATGCCAATCTATAGCGCTTTTCTTGGTCCAGTATCGCCTTCGGGAGACGCTGGCCCACACTGCTGGCCATGTGCACATGTCAGTCCTGCAAAGGCTGCGGTTTGAGCTGAGATCTCCTGTGAGTGTAAAGTACACGCCATGTTTCAGACACAGTATGAAATAAAGAATGTAAACTGTCTCAATAAATGTTTAGCTCAATTACATGTTGGGATGATATTTTCAATATACTGGATTAAATAAAATGTAATAAAATTAACCGTATCCGTTTCTTTTTATCTTCTTCCATGTGGCGGGAAAGTGTGACCTGCATTTGTGGCTCACATTTTGATTTTTGGGGAGTGCTGGCCCAAATGACCTCCAAAGTGGCGATACCAAACTCACCCCAACAGCGATGCTTCTGAACTCCCTGAGATTTTTGCTAACATGTGGTATTGCTACCCTCTCATTTTTGTCATTTTAGCTGTGAAATAATATCTATTTGTGATTTTGCATTTAATTTATAATTTATGAGGTTAAGAATCATACATATTTATTGTCTATTTTGGTTTCTTTCTCCATGAATACCTCTTGACCATTTTTCTATTGGGCTACTTGTTACTTTCTTATTGATATGTAGAAGTTGTTTATATTCTCCCAGAGTATGTCTTAAAAACATTTTTTCATGGTCTCCTTTGCTGTATAGAAATGTTTAATTTCATGTGTCCATTTATTGACTTTGAGAACTTGATCTTCTTAGTAAACACTTTTTGAAATGTTTTAACAGGTTTGGGGATGTTTTTGTTTTAATAACTGCTTTATCCCAGCACCTAGAACAGGCCTGGGATAAACAGGCACTCAGCAAATATTTGTTGAATGAACTGTATCACCTCTCTGGGGCTTTCTGGCATCTGTGTTGTGCCTTTGTCATCAGCTTCCTTGTACAGGATCTAGAATCTCTTCTGCTTAGTTTAATGGAGCTTGCCTTCTTGCCCTCCCAGGCTCATTGGTTTCATATTTTTCACTCTCCTGGCAGTATGTACTTACATAGGTTTCTCAAAGTGTATTGCTTGCAAAAGTGCTTCCAGAAGATGTTAAAATGGAATGTGAAAAGTAGATTATCCTAGACAAATGGGGTTTGGGAGCTAGGCTGGCCCGTTTGGGGTATGACAGGACTTCTGGAGACGTGGGTGTTCTATGCCTGTGGGCAGTCTGTGGGTGCAGGGCAAAGCGTCACCCAAACCCATGGGCATGCTTAGGAAATGGTAACAGTTGTGCAACTACTGTATAAAGAATGTACTTTAAAAAACACCCATGAACGGGCCTATTGAAGGACTGGGTTAAAAACTCTAAGACTGATGGCTCACAAAGCAAAATGTTGAATGTGATCAATAATTAGGAAAATTTAAGTTTTGAAATTTATACACATTTAACTCAGCTGAATTTTTCACTGTAAGTTGTTTTCTTGAGATTTTTAAATCAGCTCACTTTCACAACGTCTGGGTGGGCACACCACCGCAGCAGGGCTGTCCTGTAAGCTAATGTGGTTAATAGAGCATACTGAGAGTCAGCTTTCCTCTCCAAGTTAGCGAGGGCAGTTCTGAAACAAAGGCTTTCTCATGTGAAAGATATTTCTGTGCACTTGGAGATTTCTCTTGTGTCCACAACTTAGGAGAGGAATATATTCTCAGTCCTTTCTTTTGTGTTTGTTTCTCTTTTATTCTAAATATAGTATTCCCATTAAGAAAACATGTTCCATTAGTGCTGTGAGCACTGGGACATAGTGTAGGATAGGCAGACATGTATGTGCCGTATATTCTTGCATACAGTCGGAAGAAAGTGTTATATCTATAAAACTTTCTTGTATTTGTTTCTGGTTTAAGGCTGCTAGCACTTTTGGAGGGACTAGAGATGATGATCAAAACCTGATCCACAAGACAAGAAGAGGGCTAGTTGCCAATATTTATGAAAATTAAAAATGGGCACTCCCTTTGGCCCAATAATTCCATCTTTTGGTATCTACCCTAGAGGAAAAAGAAATCACTGATGTTCATTATGGTACATATTCAGAAATATTCATTGAAATATTATTTTTAATAGCAAAAAAGAAAAAAAACCCATAAAAATTATGGACTATTTAAATGTTCTTTACTAGGGAACCACTTTTAAAACTTGAAAATATAGAGTAGTTTAAAAGAGAATTATAACTATATCTTATGATATGGAAAGATCTCCAAGATGTATTTTGAGTAGAAAAAGTGGTAAAGCAGAGCATACAAAACGATTCTATTTGTTTTAAAAACACAAAACGTACATGTTTCTGCAGACTTATATGATCTAAATGTAGTAACTAGATTCAGCATGAAAAAAACAGTAACTATGTGTGGAAAAGGACCTGAATTGGAAAAAATCATTAGGGATGTACAAAATTAATTTCTTGTATTGCTTATGTAACTATATATTAATGAAAAACATTAAAGAAAAGTACTTATTTAGATTTCTCTTTAACCTTTTACTTTTAACTGTACCACATCTCAAATTTTTCAAAAACAACCCAGGTCACTGGCCTTTGCTGCCTGAAGAAGGCACCTCTGATAAGGTTCAGCTGAGCTCTGGAACACACGTCTCCTGGTGCTCCGAGGCCTGCTTCCTGAAGACCAAGGGCAGGAGTGAGGGAGGAGTCCAGTGAGAGAGGAGGCGCACATTTAGAAGATTCTCCACTTGACAATTTCCCCAGGACAGGACATGTAGAGACATATGTGCCAGCAACAAAGCCCGTTTCAGCTGTTAGAAACCGAGGAACAAAGGCAGCCCTGGGCGCAATGCCTTTGAAGACGAGCCGTGTTGTCCATGGTTGACATTCTTCCTCGGGAAAGGAATGGGCAAATATGTATGCAGTGGCTGCGTCCCAAACTGGGCACGAGATTGGAAACATGCCAAAGCAAAGGCCTGAGACGCATGCCAACGCCTGATGTCTTGGGCTGGGGAAGCAGGTACAGGGGCCTGCTCAGTCGGAACCTGCAGTCGGGTATTAGGAGAGCAGAGAGGCGTGGTGCGGGAATTGATGAACCTATTTGAACATCATAAGTTTGAAATTTCCAGATGAAATTGAGCCTCGTACGGTTCCATTTATCACACTTCCATTTCAGGCTGGCGGAGTGAGTGACAGCCTGCTCACCCTCACCCCCAGGCCACCTGAAGAAACGGTGGGGTGGAGAGGAGCAGATGGGGAGAAGGGAAGGAGCAGCAGGGCGTCTGGGATGCCGGGCTGTGGTGGTGGCCTTGCAGGTGCCGCTAGCAGAGGGGAGCAAGGCCTGCGAATGAGGATGCTTAGACGGCCGCAGGGGCTCCTGCTGAGGACGAGGACGGAGCAGGAGGATGGGGTGGAAAGCAGCCCGCTGTCCAAGTAGAGCCCTGGAAACAGCCAGAAAACCCAGCACAACAAAGCAGCACAGGAAGGCACCGCCTCCAGGCAGAAATCTCTGTTGCATTTTTATTGCTGCTTTTAAACTGGGAGAGAACTGTCAGAGGATGGAATTATTTCAGCAGGTAAACCTGTGGCTACCTGCCTTCTGTGGCCAGGATGTTTGCTTGGCTGCCTCTCAGCTCTGGCTTCCTTAGAGTTGAAGATGGAGCTAGCCACTCCCACCGGACATGGGGAAACCTTCCCTGGACACAGATGTCCCTGCGGGCTTCAGGGGGGGAGGGGGGGGGGCGGTGCCGGAGGGCAGAGTGTAGCAATTGCAGCGCTTTCCTCTGGTTTCACCTCAGGCTCCTCAATCGCTCTCCCCTTGAGTTTCTGCTAAACACACTAAAATAGTTAGTGTGATTTTCTTGAACTTTCAACCCCCTTCCCAATGTTACCTCTCGGGAGAACGGATCATGGACTCCTAGAAATTTGAAGTTGGCTGGGTTAATCCAGGGCACATTTTTAAAGGGGGTCACTTAAGACACTTCAGTAGTACTAGCTATTGTGAAATCGCAGTTAGCGGAATTTTGTTTTTTAAAACAGACCATCAGTAAGTCTTTGTTTTTCACGAAAACAAAGAGCTGATTTTGCAAACGAAGGAGGTCATCTCTTGCCAAAATGGAAGTGTTTTGCAGATAAACAATATGACACTTTACCTGAGAAAATTAGCTGAGTTAATGACAGTGGGTTCTGTTTATATCTACCCTGCCTACTTACTGGTGGGAAAAAAATTTGCACTTGAAATAAAGTGTAATGCTTTCTCCTCACAGACTCACAGAAGTATCAGTCATTTTGTGAAATGAAAATTGATAGTTTGATAAGCAATTAACATGTGCTTCTTTCAGATAGAGCCAAATGTTTCATTAGATTTTTAGATAATGGTGTTTCAAGCCTTTCATTCAAGCGCACAGGCAGCACATTAGAAATAGCCCCGCGCAGCTACTTCTGATGCCACAAAGGAAGAGCTTCGGTCTCCAGGAAAGTCCTCCGCAGCGGGACTGGTCCACAGGAGCTTCTGCACCAACTCCCCAGGCCCGAGGCAACCTGTCTCCGGCCACCGGTGGTCCGAGTGGTACCTGCGGGGCCAGGTGCTCACCGGGAGCTGGACGTTGTTTTCAGATGCACTGGAGAGAATGCCTGCCGCCAAGAAACTGAGAAGAGCAACCGATTCAAGAGTGCAAGTGATTTGAAAATAACAGTCTGAGCCACACTGTAAACTGGAGGCAGCCCGTTGTTCTCTGACATGCAGAGGACACAGAGACGCTCCTTTGGAACTGAGTGTGCTGATCCAGCACTTCCCTTGGCTCCCCACCAAGAGCGTAAACATCTGTGCTTTAAAAATGTCTGAGATGCCCGGCGCCTTACACTTGACTTGGGATCCACTGGAATGTGTGTGGTGGAAATCTCTCTCACAATTACAGAACTTCTCCCAACACAAAATATCTCGCAGGTTAAATGAGAAGTAACACCACTCCAGAGAAAAGCATTGGCTGTCTCCCAGATTAATATGGGTTATGGTCCATGATTGGGTTCGATGAGGTAACAATTTCCCACCACTCTTCCAGATAGACAGGAAATTGTTGTGCTTGAAATAGATTTGGGCTGAGTAACTAATTAAAATAATTTGGATCAAGAAATGTGACATGAAATGTGATGTAGATATTTCCAGTTCTTATTCAGGAAACCTTATTGCTAAAAGGTTGAAAGATAATTGAGAAAATAATTTATATGGTGGTGAGAGTTATTTGTGTGAAGTAAAAATACAGAGTCCTTTTCACTGAGATGGAGAAGCTGCCAAATAGCTCTTGGTGATAATTCTATGCACAAAATGTTCATAGTGGGCTCAGTACCTTGCCAGATGAAAGCTTTTGCTCAGTTTAAAGTTGGAAAAGAGATTTGAGTCTCCACCAAGGATAATGTGTTAAGCTTGGTAATTAAAGACTGTTTTTCATAAATAATGCCAAAAGCACATTGGGAACATTGGGCTCATATATTCCTATACTTTAAAGAAATCAAGGACCTAATAACATTTTGATAGCATCACACACACACACACACACACACACACACACTCATACCCATTAACATCAGGGCATGAAATGAGATTACATAATTTTTCTAATAAAGCGTTTTAAGTGATATAAAAGGAAACTATGCCTATGGTGACTAAATAATGACAGGTTTTTAAAATACAATAAAAAACTTTCAATTACAGTGCTACTCAAAGTGTAACCCATGACAAGCCCACAAGAAAATAAATATATAAATTGAGACTAAGCAATTAGAGAAGTTGCAGCAATAGACAATGACTATTAAATGTCATAATTTAAAAAATTGATTTCTAGTTATTTTTTAAATTTTCTACTTAATATTAATTATATTTTACAAATGTATTGTCCACAAGGTTAAACACATTCTTCTCCTTCACAGATGAGAAGCACTTACATTAACTATACTTTTAAGAATCTCAATGCTATTAAATTCACATTATTTTTTCTTTTATTTTAGCTGAACCCAGACTTAAAAAAAACCACCCCACAACTTTAAATACATTCTACAATGCTTTACAGAAGCAAACAAAAACAACAAAGCCATAGGATCACAATGATTAAAAAGCTGGTTTTTGTTTAAAACACCTAGCATGGACTGGACACACAAATGTTCCTAACCTGCCAACTGATTTCCCCAAATTATATCAGGTAAACCCATTGGTGGGCCAGTGGGCAGGGAGGGTTGACCTGCCAGGGGCTGGAGAGGCCATTGCCACGCCCACTCCGGAGCCCTGGGGCCTGCGAAGGTGTCCGAGCCCCCACTTCCCCCCCACCCACAACCTCCCCACGGGCCTGAAAGAGCCGGGGACTTGGTGGTGTTGGTTGCAGTGCTGGAGGACGACCTAACCTTACCTTTGTGTTTCATAGGTGCGTACTGTAATATCTGCTTCATGAGAAGACCAGGTGCTTCCACGGCGACTCCTGAAAGCCCTGCCAACAGGAGAGAGGCCAGCTGACACTGGGGGCAGGTCGGGCTGGGGCAGAGAACTGGAGAGCGTCTGGCCCATGGACATGCCCTGCAGAGCTGAGCAGAGAACTGAGATGGAAGAAAACACCCAGGATTATGCTGTGGGAACAAAGGAGAGCTTCTAACCCACAAATATGTCCCTATCGATCTGCACAGGCTCTGACTTCACGCAGAGCTTCACTTTACAGAAGAAATAGAACCTGAAGTCAGTGTATGTGACATATTGTGAAAAATCCTCTATTATAAAAAGGCCATGGTCACGCCCTCACACCATAATGACTGGTCACCAGGAGGCTACACGCGTCGCAAGGCACATGTGAGTGGGCGGGAACTTGATGCTGAGTCCCCGTGGGTGCTGGCGGGGGCTTGACATGCGTTCCACGGGTGCCGGTGGCTCAGGGTCTTACGTGATTTCGAGGTGTATGCAGGTGGGTGGGGCTGCATGCGAGGCGAGGTGCGTGCGGGTGGGCAGGGACTTGACTCTGGGTCTTGTGGTGCTGCTGGGACTTGATGCTGTGTCCCCGCAGGCACCGGCCAGACTATGACAGGAGGGAGGAGGGAGCCGGATACCTGCAATATTAAAATATTTCCTCTAATTAGTTCCCTTTTAATGTGCACAAATTTCATGCACCGGGCCACTAGTATAAGTAATAAAACACTAAGTCACACTCATTGTGGGGAAGTGAATATCCTATTTAAAAAAAAAAAACACCCACAAATGGAACAACAGATTCATGTTTCTCATCTAATGTTCGTCTAGGATAGAAGCATATTGAGTGGCTGGTGAGCAAATTAGTGACATTTTAAAAATTGTTAGTTTCGTTCATACTTTCTTTTACTCTTGGGGCTCTTCCTCTCCTGATGATTCCAGTGTAAACGAATCAAATGGGTGGAGTGTACGGGTGAGGAGGCTGAAGCACTGACGTGCGTGTTAATGGAAGCAATGGGGAGAAAGGTCTTCCTGCGGCCACCTGGGCCTGCTGAGGGTGATGAAGGCGATTGTTCAGGAGGGCAATGTCTACAGTGGCTTGTTAATTAGAAGAACCCATTTAATTAATTTTTAATTAAAATTTTAGCAACGGAAAAACTTGCACTCATACAGGAAACGGATAATTATTTTAACATTTGGTGGCCTTTCATTAAATATTCTGAAAAATATAAACTCTGTAGATGCCAAATTTTGCAACATGATCTTCTTCAGTCTGTTACTACACAGAAGTAAGCAGCTGAGTGGAAAGAAAGACAAGTTTCTCTGCTTAGGAGAAAGATGGCTTTTGTTTATTTGCCCACCATGCTTTTCCACTCATTGCTATTTTAGAAAGATTCCACTTGTAAAAGGTTTACTTGCTATAATCTTAAACCAGACTTATTAATAGATGCCCATTTTTAAGAAAAGGATAAAAAATAAACTAAATAAAGTAAAAACACAATGTAGTTAGGTATAATACATGTTTATATTTATCAAAAAGTAATACCTTCTATACCATAGATTAAAATTATCAGGTATGTTTCTGCATAGAAACTCAGTGGTTATTTTGATTTTTCCCCTCTAACAGATGATTAAAAACAGAAAAATTATTACTGAGCGGGGAACCCAATAAAAAGCCCTATTATTGGAAAGAAAAGGAGGATTCTGCATTCACTTCTAGTTAAAGCTAGAACGTGGAAGATGAAGGCGGTGACCATCAGCTAGAGAGAGGCTGGCTGCTGACGCTGGGAACTCAGGTGGGTCCGACCATGTTCCTCACGTAGCTGGAGCTCCGGCCGGAAGTGCCCTGTGTCTGAGCCACTGCTGAAGATGGTGCTTTGCCGCAGGACCGCTGGGGGTTAAAAATCCTCATAAAAGTCCTATTTTATAAATAAGCTGGACTAAGGTTCAGAAAGCGAGGCAGGCCATCAGCCATCAGTGGGACAGCTGGAGAAAGTGCTTGCCCTGTCCCTCGCCTGTTGCCCCTGTTAACCCTTTGAGTGCCAACCAATATCCTAGGAAATATGCTAAAATTGCCAAGGCATTTTTGCTGATTTGACAGCAGTTTAGGAAAAAAATGATGAATCGCAAGTAAATGATGTTACATATTCAAAAACTTAAGGAAACCTTTACTACATTGACATATTTAGCAATATTATCATCACTAATAAAAGCAGACTTAGACCTGGACGCCATTTCGAAGCTTTGATAGCGCTCCTGGCACTTTTGGCGAAAGACAGGAGGAGTGCGATTGCGCTCCCCGGCACTCTAGGGGTTACGGTGAGAGGGCTGAGCAACACCCATGCTTCCCAGCAAGCAGGACACAGTCCCCCCTGGGAGTGAAGCCATGCGGCAGGCACGGGCTCAATAGACTTGAGTCTCAACATGAAAATGATGGTCCTGTGAGGTATCTGACCCAAATCTTCTCCAGTCACAAAGAACATCTTCGTTTAGTGCTATAATGACTCAGCTTGTTATTTGAGAGGAAACCTAAGCCTTCGCCTTTTGACAGGCAATGATAAGAATGTAGTGCCACTTGGTAGTATTATACTTAAAATCTGTTTTTCTTAAAATATTAATATTTATTGCATGTAATATTATATTTAAGATCATCTTTCTTGAATAATTGGTGTTTGATGCATGTAACATTTAAAATCATTTTTCTTGAGATATTAATGTTCATTGCATGTAGTAGTATATTTAAGATAGTTTTTCTTAAAATATTAATGTTTATTGCATGTAACATTATTATATTTAAAATAATTTTTCTTGAAATAAAAAAAATTCCCATTTGAAAAAAGAAAGAAACAAATTTGGTAAATGATGTAATTTCATTAGTCCTATTGTGACAAGTCACTCTACTTCTCCATACCTTTTTTACTTTTGTGGAATAAGGAGCCATTTCTTAGCTCCTTTCCATTTTCTGAATTCTGTGATTGCATGATAGTCCACAGTGTGTGAAATAGCTTGTATTTTTTTCAAGGAGATAAAAAAAAACGTTCTGCTGTTTGATCAATGGGCTTCTATTATATAGGACTAGAGGCCCAGTGCACTGGTGTGGTCCCTTGACCTGGCCTGTGGGGATTGGGTCGAAACCAGCTCTCCAACATCCCCTGAGGGGTCCTGGATTACGAGAGGGTGGTTCTCAGGTGCACACCCCAGAATCGAGCTCCCTCCTCTCTGGTTCCAGGTAGGTCACCTGAGAACCACAGCTGCCAAATCACCACATCTCGGCAGCTCCTGTGTTGAGCATCTGCCCCTTGATGGTCAGTGTGCATCATAGCTACCAGTCAGCTGGTTGAACAGTCGGCCAGTCGGCCGGTCGCTTAGGCTTTTATATATGTAGATAATGCTAGAAAGGTTACCTTTTAAAGCTCCACTTTAATACAATTGCTGAGAAAGGCAGTGCCATGGGGCCGGTCTCTGCGCCCACTCACCCAGCAGGAAGGGCTGTGGGCCTAGAAGTCGCCCTAACCAAGAAGTCTAGAGTCCTCTCTACCTGTGCTGGATTTACAGCCTGGGTGGGAATATCCTTACCTGCTGTGGACTCAGTGTGGGTCCTTTGTTCTGCTTAAGTGTGCATCCATGCTGCCTGTCTCCTGCCAGGAGGGCCAGGCTCTTTTGTCCTGTGACCGAAGATGGTTCGCATGCAGGCCAGGGGCCCTGTGTTGGTTGCCTGGAGGGTCTTGCTGGCCCTGGGGAACCAATGCCGGTGACTGTAACTGTTCTTGCTCTGCCTCTTCTCATTGTTCCATCCAGTGCTTACCTGTCTTGTGTCTTCCTTGCTGACTCTGATACCAATGTTACTGCAGGGTGTCTGGGCCCGGAGCAGGGCTGCCTCAGGCCAGCCTGTGGTGTGTGGGTTATTGACTTCATGCAGGAGAGATTTCACAGGTGAGTCCAGGTAGGTTTGAGAGGATGTTTATGACAGCTGGGACAGTGAAACACAGGAAAGGCCTAGGGTAGAAGCGGCAACAGGAGACACGTTATAGGAAAGAAGTGGGCAACAGTGAGCTGTGTGAAGTCACTGGGAAGTGAGGGTCACAGTGACAGAAGTGAGTGTGGGCAGGGCTGCTGTTAGCTCCCTGGAAAGTCAGAGAGAATGAGGCCTTGGCGACAGGTTCAGGGGGTCAGCCTGGGATGAGCTGTGGCTGCCCGTTGCTCCCCTGGTTGCAAGTCTTGTGGGACCTTTAGAGCTGAGGAGAAAAAGAGCAGAGGTGCAGGGCATGGGCATGCTCTCGTGAGAGCACAAGTGCTGGTCCTGTGTCTTGAGGCTTTTTATTTTCCTTCAGCTGCTGGGAATCCTAGGGGAGGTCTCAGGGAGGGTCTGAACAGAATAGTCATTCGCTTTTCAGGTGTGATCTTCGATATGCTGGTTCACCAGAATGTGCGTGTGATGGGGTCAGCAGTTATTTCAAAGAACACCCTCCAAGAGGGACCAGTCGAGACCAGTCTGTGCCAGGCTGGTCTGGAATGTGTCAACCATCTGCTCCTAAGTGCCCTTGGTTAGGTAAGATAAAACCTTGTGATTCATTACCTGGCTGCAAATTGCTCCAGTCATTTGTCCTTGTTTAATTATTTTGTCTCAGTTTCCCTATCCCACTGGCCAAGGAATTTTCCTGGCTTCTTATTCTCCCGCTTCACCAAGATGCAGCAGGGAGAAGTGCACAGACTTCTAGATGGGAGACATAGCATCTGCCCACAGAAATGAGTGATTTAAAGAAAAACAAAGTAAACTAATGCAGGTAATTGTGCAAAAATTTTAACTTTGGCTGCAAAAGAGTAATATTTGGCAAAGGCCAAACCGATCTGATACCCTCCATTTCCATGAGGAAGAGCTAATTTCCTCTGGTGACGATCTCAGCATTTAGAGTCACATGTATTCTGATGGCTCTACTTTGCCAGTCCCTGTGTGGTTGTTGCTTTGCAGGGATCAGACAGCTAGAAAGCAACTCAGAGATTTCAGAGGGAAAGGAGACACATGCACATACATACCTACACAGATTCATGCAAGCAGCTCTCTCCACGGCACCGCTGCATGTGCTACCAAAGAAGGTCTGTAGACTCCTCACCCTTTACTTATTGTTTTGATTGTGATGAAGTATAAGTAACTCAAAATTTACAATTTTAACCATTTTTAAGTGTACGAATCAATGGGTTAAGTAATTCACAATGTAGTGCATCCATTTCCAGAACTTTTCATCATCCCAAACAGTAGCTCAGTTCCCATTAAGCAATAACTTCCTGCTGCCACCACGGTAACCTTTATTCTACTTCTTGTCTCTGAATGTGCCTATCCTAAATACCCCGTGAAAGAGGAATCATGTCTGGCTTATGTCACTTCGTTTGTTTCCAAGGTTCATCTATGTTGTAATGCATATCGGGATTTTATTCCTTTTTGTGTCCAAGTAACCTTCTATTCTATAGATACACCACCTTGTGTATCCATGTCTCTCTTGATGAGCATTGGGGTTGTTTCTGCCTTTTGGCTCTTAGGAGGAACATTACTCCTCCTATTGTACCCAGGCAATGTGTTCTTTCCTTTTTCTTTTAAAGATTGCCCTTGTGGATGGTATTATTTTCCTCCTGCTGCTATAACAAAATCACCACAAACTTAGTGGCTTAAAGCAACAGATTTATCACCGTACGCCTAGGTTTGCTATCAGTTTCCCTAGGCTTCCCTTCACCGTGGGAGGGCGGGCTCCTTTGCGAGCTCTGGAAGGGGACCGCTCCTGCATGCTTCTGCTTCTGGAGGCTGCTGGCATTCCTTGGCCCATTGTCTCTTCCCTGATCTTCTAAGCGCATCACTCCAACCTCCGACCCTCCTGGCTGCCTCTCACAAGAGCCCTTATGTTCATCTTGGGCTCTCAGGATTATACAGCATAATCTCACCATCTCAAAACCCTTAACTTCATCCATCTGCAAAACCTCTTTTACATGAAAAGCAACATATTCACAGGTGCCAGGGATTAGGACATGGACATCCTGGGTGTGTGTGTGTGTGGGGGGGGGGCATTATTCAGCCTACCATGATTATTTTAACCCCTGGCAAACGGTAGGTTGGATTCAGGAGCTGGCTCCATCATATTCTCCCATTGCTTCTTTGGGGTGAACCTACCATACCATTTCCACCCAGGGCTGGTCCCCCACATGAGCCAAGTGATTTCAGAGTCCCACTGGGTGGGATGCAGAGAACAGTCACACTTGAGCAGAGACAGTGGAAAACCAACTGTCTCAGTCACTGAAGGGATGGGGAATGAGAATAATGGATCAAATATGTCTTTGGTGCATACAGGGGGCTTGGCATATGCTACTTCATTCATCTGTACAACAGGATCCTGGGTCGCAGAGCAAGTGTGTAGCGGAGCTAGAGATTCCAATACAAGATAGCTGACTCTGCTGGGCTTTTCTGTGGCTCCATTATGACTGAATTCATAGGACTTTAAGAGGTTAGTAGGTTCCATTTAGCACAGCTCCCAGATGTGGCTCAACAGAGGAATAGTCAGGGATCAGCAGTGATTACACCTGGTTGAAACTTTAAAATGACCAATCTTATATAATAAAGAGGTATTATGCAAATTAACCTTCACACCCTCACAAGATGGCTGCCTAGGAGGTGGAGCTTTTGACGCTGACTGGCATAGAAACCAACCAAACAGAACCTAATTTGGGTGAACTGTGAAGGCAGAACCTAAGGTGGGGCCTGAGGAGGGGTTTTAAGGGCACAGCTGTTTGGTGTAAGGTGTAAGAAAGTGGTTCAGTTTTTTAATGACCAGTTTGCCAATATAGTGCGTATGACTGGCTATCTGTCCAGATATAGGGATTATGTATTTTTGTCTGCCAAGAGCAAAG